AAACTCGAAAATGGTTCTGCGACTCTCAGGAAGAAGGCTGAAGAGGACTTGAAGGCGGTCATCGCCCAGTTCGACGTGCAGCCGTCCGAGCCTGCACCGGCGCCAGCGCCAGTGCTCAACGTGGACCCGGTGGAACCCGCATCCAAGAGGAAGAAGCTTTCGAGATTGGAGGAACGGCGCGCGGCACGTGTGGCGGCAGCCAGCGATGGTGGTGCGAGCGGTTCGGTCCAGGCTCAGGGTTCCGCCACGAACCGGCGCGTGCTGATCGAGCGAGAGGTATTGGTGTACTTGGCGGAGACGGAACAGGTGGAGGTGGATGACTTCAACGTCCTGGGGTTTTGGAATCGGCGGGGCACTGACAGCGTATGCTCGACGACTGGCAACGTCACATCCCCGGCAGAAATGCCCTACCTAGCGTTCATCGCTCGGTTGTTCCTCGGGATCGAGGCGAGCAGCTGTCAGGCCGAGCGGAACTTCTCGGCGCTCAGCCACCTGATCGGCCACCTGCGCTGCAACATGCTCTCACGGAAGGTTGAGCGCATGATGTTGATTCGGCTCAACAGGCACTTGGTGGACGAGGTCCGCGAATTGGACGCTGCTGTTTCCCTGGCACGAGCTAAGGCAGCCAAAAGCGCACAGAAATCAGTGGCCTGTCAAGAGGAGAGGGCGAACAAGTCGATTGACCTTAGCTTGTAGACGAGGGTACCCAAGTGCACTGTAGTCTGGGTTAGACTATGCAGGGTGAGAATTGATTGATCTTAGCGTTTTAGATGCTATCACGAATTGCCATGTGAAGTGTTGACTTCAATCTGTTGTCGTTCTACAACAAGTTATGCTTCTGTTTCCCGTGGCATTCGACGGATCGCGTTTTGGCGCACTCTTCTCTTTTTGCATTTTCTTTCTTCTTTAGGTTGCCTTTCGTTTGTCCATGAACAGCTCGATTTGACCATGGGTATGCATCGCATCGTGAAATCACGAAATCATATGGGAGATGCAGGCTCTCAAGCGTACATACAAGAGACAAAAAGCGACCCATCCTGAAAGAGAGGAAAGAGGTTCGCCGGTTGATGGGGCGCCAAGGGCACCGAAATGTAGTTTGGCATCGCCATATTTTATATTTTATATTTTATATTTTGATATTCTGGTCTACTCGCAACCCTCGAAGGCGGTGCCGCCATATTTCAGTACCGCCACCAAAAAACCGCCATATTTGGCAGTACCGGGAACCGCCGGAGACGGTACCGCCATATTTCAGTACCGCCAGAAAAATACCGCCGAAAAAACGAAGTACCGGGAACCGCAAAAAAAATACCGCCACTTCNTGTTGTTGCTGTTGTCTCCGTTGTTTGTTGTTGTTGTTCAACGCTGCCGGGCTTTTTTTCGCCT